AGTTCGATAAATCTGGAGCAGAAAAAATTGAAGACTATGTCAGTGTTGCACATGAACCATTAGTTAGTTCGAAAGGTAATGTTTCCTTGTAGCCTTATATATAGTACCTGCATATATATAGTACTTACCTTGTAGCCTTATATATAGTACCTGCAAAGCAACTACTGATATGTTCGTTTTATCCTTCTTCTGCGATAATTCATATCTTTTTGTGCATTTGCGATAATTCATACATTTTTTCGTGCATTTTTTCGTGGGGTTATAAATTAAGACAACCTTCAAAGTTTTAACAGGCGACGTACGCGTTTTGTCGTGAAATATATATAGTGTTGTTTAACTGTTACGATAAGATGTTCTCGTGATATGATTGAAAGTTGTCATTAATATATGGGATTAAAACATCAAATTAAAAAGACCTTTCCCAAGACAGCTTTACAACCTCGTTCCAGGCCTTTTTTGCGCGGTCTTGGTAAGTACATTTGCCGAATTGTGTTGAAATATGGTTAAAAAACCTCAAAAAATATCAAGAGCGACGCATTGTTGTTCACATATGTTGTAAACCTTTTATACACGTCGTTTTGGGGCGGTATTTATTGTGTTATGTTTTTTGTAGAATGTGCTATTTGTCCGAAAAATGTGCTCGGACCGGCTTTGTTCTGATATTTCTGTAGAAAATAAATTTATAATTACAAAATGCTTGAAAAGAAAGCTTCACACCCCGTTTTAGTACCGGATTCATGTTGCCGTTTACACACGCAGCGACGAATCCGATAGTAAATCTTCTCGTGCCGCCCGTGTCCGGAAACTTTGAATCCGGAAAAGTTTGTGGGCCGTATCCGGAAACAGCCGTTTACAGCCGTTTACGGCTAAAGCCGTTTACGGCTTTCCGTAAAGAATCTGAATCAATTTGTTCCAGTGTATGTTTTCCAAATTTATTGCTATATTAAATGCAGCCGCCAAACAAGGTCAAAACATCGCATAATATCACTAAGAGGGTTAAAATTATTTACTTTATATTGACCATCGCTGTGTAGTGTAAACGCTTCACGGATCCGTAACTTTTACAAATCCGGAAAGTTTTGCTCTAGTGTAAACGTAGTCTTAGTCATAGAAAGGTCAGCAATATAGGGACTAATTTGTTCAAAGAATATGGCGTAACGCCTTTGGCTCCAAGTACGTCACGTGATTAAGTTCTCTAATTCTTTTTGATACTAAATTCTGTGAAGTGGGCCATACAGTGTTTCTGCAGTTCGTAAAATTTGTTCAGTTGTTTTGTAAAAATATCACGATTAATTCGCAAAGTATAAGGAATTGCACTGACAAAGATCCGGCCATGAATCGAAAACTGCGAAATTATAAATAATCTTAGTTGTGTTTCGATAAAGCTAAATCAAACTTCTTTATTTCACATTTGTTGCCCCACCTTGTTTACTTCCAAGACCACATGCAGCGCAATAAACTTATTAGATCCAAAAATGATGAGTTTTTTTATAATCTTTTATGTTTTACTTACAAGGAACCTCGGTTGACACTAAGAAGAAGAGAAAGAAAGGAAAATCTATGTTTCCTTTATCTGCCTCAGGTGATAACAAAACCAGGAGTATTACCAGTCAGGAATGTGTCAATATCGCGAAATTGTTAACAAACACTACAGGTTGGTACACCATTAACAAAATATTGCCAATTTTGGATGATCTGTTGTTGCTGCGAATCGCAGACCTTAGAATCTTTTGCAAATTTGCTCAAATGAGAATCTGACAATGCTTTCACGGTTCTAACAACTATTGTTACAATCGAATTATCTTACCAGGGCAGTCTTATTAAAAAATCTTGGACCACTTTAACCTTTCCCAAAGACGCGAAGACATGTGTTAGAAATCGTTCAATATATCATGGACGATTCATCACTTAAGCTTCCCCATTTGTTACCTTCCAGGCATGAAGAAACTTGCAATTTTAGGGCCAAAAGATTTTTTTAGAACTTTGACACAGTTATACTAATACATGTTACAAAACATTTCTTCCTAGGCTATATCGTTACCTTTTCGGTGTTGAACTATTGAACATTTTAACTATACATAAATTCGTATATTTAACTTAATTTAATGATAGACTCATTAGATCTATTGACTTTTCTAACCGTTTATTAAATGTTTTGAACTGATTTGTAAATCACGCAATTCTGCGTTGGGCTTCGATGTGAATTTCGTAATAAATCTATCTATAACATTCAAATCTAAGTCATTCAAAGATTGGAAAAAATTGGGGTAGTTTCTCTTTTTTCGCCCTCCCCTGTAGTGTCCGTTATTGTGGTATTGGGTCATGTAAGAAATCTATACTTTGATCTTACGACACTGTCAACAAGTATATCTTAGAACTTCGTTCGTGACCTTCATAAAAATAGCCACAATTGTGCTAATAGACCTTTCACATGCACGAATGTAATTATAAAACTCGAAAGAAATGGATGTTTAATTAGCCTAATAAGATGTTATACAAAATTCTCCTGATTTGAATAAATTTTTTCCTGGATTTTGTCAGTTAAAATCATGATCACTTCTTTTTTATATAAATCATACATGCAGCCTCTCGCCTTCGCATCGAGTCTGTATATCTGATACAGCACCACCCCGCTCATATATTACTTATACTTTCACGCTTTCCTACAAAACATTGAAATGTTAATTCTTCACTCTTGCCTAACTTGTATTTACTAGGTTATCCTGAAGATGCGCTACACATATCTGGTGAGAACGTCAATATTGGTTTATTTGCGGACAGAAAAGCTGCATTTAATATGCTTTCTGAAGAAGGTCAGACTTCTTAGTATTATACATGAGTGTTAGTGAGCGTTAGCAAATTCAAAGTTAAATTAATGTATAAAATTTCCGCAGGAATTCACCATGCGGAAAGTGGAAACACAGATTATCAACTACAATTGGAAATCTGGAAAGGAAATATTGGAAAAGCACTGGAGCTTGCAGTTGAGAAAAAGCAGCTCTCTGATTGGCTAGTTGCAATCAGTCATTTAGGTAAGCATGTTGACGCCATGTTCTACACGCGCCATGTTCTACACGCTAGTACATGCCTGCTGCATGCTAACTTGTTACAAGATTGTTCCAGGCACAGAATAACAATGATGGTTGTTGAGTTTATAAGACTTGTTATCAACCTTTAATTCAGCAACTTGTTAACACGATTTAGGTGATAAACTTATAGCAATGAATGAATAACAGCATTGTTGCCGTTGTTCACATACTTTGGTCAAGCTCGTTGATTTTTATGTTTCAAATATATAATAATTCATAAAATAATTATATATTTGTTTAGCTGGAGAACAGGTTCGTTTGACTGTTACAGAAGCATTTGCTGAGCAGCTTGTCTGTCAAGGATTCCTTCACAGAGCTGCTGTGTATTATCTGGCATGTCACAAGGTGTATGAGGCCATCGGGATGTTTAAAACAGCTGGGATGTACAGGTACGATAACGACACTAGTTTAGACACTCTTTTAATATTATTTCAATGAAATCCAGTAAACTGTCCGGATGCGCACTACATGCAGACATCAACTACTTTGCATGATCTGGCATATCAATTAGTAAACTCTAATTTTCATACTGATACAGCACACAAGCTTTAGCGTAGTGCTCACGTAATAACATTGAATTTGGCATTAGATGCTTGAAATCTTTTAAGATGAGATATTTGTAGATGGAATTTTCGTAGAACGAAAATTTATATACAATTTTAGAACTTTTTCAATCGGAAAATTCCGAATATAATATACTGCAGTCAATGAACTTTCTTTGGAAATTTCCGATTTTCAGGAGCCAATAAGCCGATATGGTTTTTCCGATAATGACGTTTGTCGAGCAATTTGCATCCCGCCTATCTACAGCAAAATGTCGATAGAAATACACTTTTTATTGAAGAAATTTAAATACTTATAGACTTTTTTCAACTCTAAAAAGTTTTAATAAATTTAGAAAATATATCCAAAGTGGTTTGTATTATAGAAATTTGCGTTATTTTTGTGTAACTGTATTTTGGCAAAAAGTTGCCAGCTTTGGGATATAATACAATAACGTAAACATCCGAATCTGCATACATGATGAGCTATTGATAGCAAAGTCAGATGAACTTTATAAGTGAATATACATCTATTTGCTGGGCTGCATATGGTTTGGTTTAGTTTAGGTTATAGTTTAGTTTAGTTTAGTTTATAGTTTATAGTTTTTAGTTTAGTTTAGTTTAGTTTAGTTTAGTTTAGTTTAGTTTGCATGGTTTGTTCCCATGCAGAGAGTAAAACTCGTCAATTTTGTTATTAAAAGCGCATGTGCATTGTACTTCTAGCTTCAGAAAAGTTAATTATTTGATTTACAGGGAAGCCATTGCTTTGGCCAAGGTACGTCTGTTGCCCTCAGATCCATTATTACTCGATCTTTATTCATCCTGGGGCAGACGGCTGGAGAGTGAATACGCTTTAGAACAAGCGTCAAAGTGGTAAGAACTACATATATAGTCAGACAGATAAAGGAAAAAATGAATGAAAACTCACCATATCGAGGGACAATTCTATTTTGCCTTCATCTTGTGTCTTTGAGACTGGTAAGTACATTTCTGTATGTTGGCGGCACTCAAGTTTCTTGTGCCCGGCTCCTGTCCTGCCAACAAGTTTTTCTTCGATTTTCCTATTAAATTCCTGTATTGTTAAAAACGTGCAATTCAAGTCAGGTTCATTTGTAGAAAAAATAACTTGCATCATTAGAAAGCTTACGGTTACCTTGATTTTTCAAGTTCTTCTTGAGTTATGAGTTTTTGAAAACGTGTTTTCAGACTAGTGCCCAGGATTTGTGCACCTTTTGGACCTATTTTGTACACGATCCGTAATGTGCTCGTGCAGGGCAGACGTGTATTTTGTGCTCCGCTAAAATTTTATATATTAAGATATATAAATTCACTACTTATTCACATCATACAACTACCTAATATTATTTTTATGGCAACTGCTAAGCTTCGGAAAGAGAACCAAGCACTAAGAAGCGAGATCACGGCACTAGAAGAAAGGCTGGATAAAATTACAAACGAAGTGTCAAAGAATAAAGACAGCATGGCCGATTCTCTTACCGGACAAGAAGTCAACCATGCAACTAATCGGTCTGAAGCAGCCGATAAAAGTAAGTCTATCGAATTCATAAGCGCACAATACGATGATATTATTGTGTTTAAAAACAACGTGATTCAAGATCTCAAAGATATGAAAAAGCAAGTTAGCATGATATCTAAAAAATGCGAAGCTATTACGACCTCCGTTGAACCAATGGAGGACTATAGCTATCAATATAATCTGAAAATCGTCGGCATGCCACAGCAATGTGAGAATGAATCAGCCGAAAACACAACGAAATTGTGTTTGAATTTGTTCGCCGCGATCGGAGCTGAAGTTACAGAACAGGACATAGACATTTCACATCGAGTCCTTGCGAGAAGGCAATCAAATCGGCCGAGTGCAATAATCTGTAAATTCGTCCGTCGCTTGGCTAAGGAAAGGGTTCTTGCTCTCAGAAAGAAAACTAGCAACGTTCAACCACAACAACTTGGTTTCTCCTCAGAAGTGCAACTTAATTATCTTAGTATCTATGAACATCTACCCCCACGTCTACAGGAACTCTTGTTTGAGGCGAACAAATACAAACGTGAGAATAACTTCAAGTTTTGCTGGGTTAGAAATAAAGCCATTTGTTTGCGCAAATCCGAGGGTGATGTTGTTATCAAGCTAACAAAACGAGAGGATCTTGCTCAATTGTTATCTCAAGAACAAAGTTCATAACTATCTTCTTTTTGAAGATAAGTATAATTATATTTAATAATGGCTGTTAACAATTTTTTGTTTGAAAGTGAGTCACCTCTGCCATTTAATCACCTGGATGATACCGCCTTTAATGCAGTATTTTATGAGTTTGAAGATGGTCCATTAAATTTTGACTTAGATCGTTTAGAATCTTTAATATTCAATCCAATTGAATATCTGCCTTCTACTTTAGAGAACTCATTTATATCTAATCTTGACCCAGATTTAAACTTTAACGAACTAATGCCATCTAATAGTAGGTACATGATTGAAAGTGAAGTTAATGAACTTGTAACGGATAAACCATGTAATTCGGGAATGTCTTTTTTGCATATAAATTGTCGAGGTCTCATTGGCAATTTTGATAGGTTTAGAGTTTTAACCACAAATTTGCTCGACTCATTTTCTGTAATTGGAGTATCTGAAACCTGGATAAACGATGATACTTTTAATATGGTAAATCTGCCTGGTTATAACTTCATTAGTAATCATCGCCGAGGTAAAACAGGCGGTGGTGTAGGTCTTTATCTATAGGTGATTATTTTCAGTACAAATTAATTCAAGACTGTAATATTTCTAATCCTGAAGTAATTGAGTCTCTGTTTGTTGAAATTTCAAACCCTCTTGGGAAAAACATTATTGCAGGAACTGTTTACCGCCCACCCAACCAAAACCTTGTCTCATTTATTGAAGACTTTAATAAAATCCTTTCTATTATTTCCAAAGACAACAAACAATGCTACATAATGGGAGATTTTAATTTGGACTTACTTCATTGTGATCATCATGCGTATACACAAGAATTTATAGACTCATTATTTTCACATATGTTTATTCCTCTTATTAATAAGCCAACTCGGCTAACTTCTCATTCAGCAACACTAATTGATAACATATTTACGAATTGTTTTACACAAAATATTGTAAATGGAATTATTCTGAACGACTTGTCGGACCACCTACCTGTGTTTGCATTATCTAGTACTAAATTTGAGAAACCAAATAATGAAACCACATATTATACTCGGGGTTACAATGATTTAAATATTATCAAGTTTCAAACTAAATTATCACAGGTCGAATGGACTTGGGTCTTGATAGGGCAGGATCATCCAAATAGACTTTACGATGTTTTTGCCGAAGAATATTATAGGCATTTTGAGGATTGTTTTCCCTTAAAAATATCTAAGTTGAATTCTTGTAGGAAATCAAAATCACCATGGATTACTAAAGGTTTGCTGACTTCCGTTAAAAAAAAGAATAAATTATACAAAAAATATCTCGCAAACCCTACCCCTGTACGTGACTCTCAATATAAGAGATACAAAAGTAAATTGAATCACCTAATTAGAATGTCAAAGAAAACTTACTATGATAAAAAAATTGAATTAGCTAAAAGTGATTTGAAAACAACATGGAAATTAATAAATGAAGTCACTAACCTAAAACGTAAAAAGCCCTCACTACCGTCATCTTTTCGATCAAATAACATGACTATCAATGAACCCTCTAAAATTGCCAATGATTTTTGTAAATATTTTTCTGAAATTGGCCCATCCCTTGCGCGTAAGATTCCCCCAACAAATCGTTCATTTCATGAGTTTTTAGGCCCTACTATTAGTGAAACCATATTCCTTAAACCTACAACTGTTAATGAACTGAGAGAGATATGTATGTCGTTTAAAAATGGAAAAGCACCTGGCCACGACAACCTACCTATACATATCATAAAAAAATCGTTTGAATTAATATCTGAACCATTAATGCTGGTAATTAATTCTTCACTTGAGGCAGGGTTATTCCCAGATAAGTTAAAAGTAGCTAAAATAATTCCTATTTATAAAGCTGGTGAGGTAGATACATTCACAAATTACAGACCAAAAGTTTTTTAAAAATCTATGAAAGGGTCATGTATAATCGTTTGGTAGAATTTACTAATAAACTTGAAATTTATTACTGTCACCAGTTTGGTTTTCGAACTAACCACTCAACCAATCTTGCTCTTACTCACCTGATAAATAAAATTGCAACTGCTATTGATCAAAAAGAAATAACAGCAAGTGTTTTCTTAGATCTGTCTAAAGCATTTGATACCTTAAACCATGATATACTATTTTCTAAGCTTGAGATATGGGATTCGTGGAGTGGCATTAAATTGGGTAAAGAGCTATTTCAATAACCGAACACAATTTGTTCAATATAACAAATTTTCTTCTGCTCGAATAGCCATACAATGTGGTGTACCCCAAGGGTCAATATTGGGCCCACTCTTTTTCATCCGTTATATTAACGATCTTCCAAATGCCTCACATTTAGTCAAACCACTATTATTTGCAGATGACACCAGCATTTGTTATGCTAGCTCCGATCCCATAGTATTAGCTACAGTATTAAATGAGGCATTACTAAATATTAGTACATGGATGAAAGCTAACAAACTCTCTGTCAATATTGATAAAACCAACTACATCATTTTTCAACCAACCCAAAAGAAATCCAAGTATGAAATTCTCCTTCTTCTTGATGACAGATTAATCACACAAAAGAAACAGATCAAATTTCTTGGGGTCCTTTTAGATGAAAATCTCTCATGGAAACCTCATATAAATTACGTATGCAAAAAAGTTTCTAAGTCTATCGGTGTAATATACAGAGCTCGTTTCAACTTGTCGAAAAGTACTAAATTGTCGTTATATTATACCTTAATCTATCCATATCTTATCTACTGCAACACAATATGGTCGTCTACATATGTTTCTAACTTAAAACGGTTACAAATTCTACAAAAGCGAATAGTTAGATTATTGACTAGTTCGAGCTTTTTGGCTCATACTGCTCCGCTTTTTAAAAAATTGAAAATACTTGATATCAATAAGATTAATTCCTTTTGTACAGGTATATTCATGTATTCCTACCATAACAAATTACTTCCACCCCCCTTTCTTAACTTATTTAGCACCAGCAACCAGTTTCATAATTATAATACTAGAAACGCTGACACATATCGTTCACATGCATGTAGAACTAATATAAAACAATTTACTATGCTTTCACGAGGTCCAAAACTGTGGAATTCGCTCCCTGACACCGTTAAGAATGCAGGGACGTTAAATTACTTCAGGAATAGAATACGAAAATATTTACTTCAATGTTAAGCCATATAACTGTGTTCACTAGCTGTCGCAATTGTTTTAACAAAATACTTTTGATATATATACTTTGAAAAGCTTCAAGGAGATATCCAATTTATAAGCCTTATGGTTTCTGGATAACTCCTTGCCACTAATATAACCACTGTAAATATAACAACATAAATTACCATTATATAAACAGTAGCAGTATATTAGAAATCTGAAATATTGTAAATGGTATTGGTGGCTAATAAATCTTTATCTTATCTTATCTTATCTATAACCATAAACAAAACGAATAAATTGCCTATATGATACAGCTCTACAAAACTCATACTTGCTTGTCCTTCCTTGATTAAGAAGTGTTGTGTATCGCTTTCAATTTTTATTTTTCAAACTAATTCCCGCAACCTCAAGTACCCATTGCTTTAAACACACTTCGTCAAAACCAGAGTGTTCTGTAACACAATTACCCTGTTCTGAATTGTCTGGGGAATAGCTGCTTACTTTTTGCATGAATTCTTCCATTTCAGTACAGCAACGGCATTCTTCCATGTTCACGACATGGTTCAGGGAGCAAAAAGAACACTTGCACCTACAAGACACAAAGAGGTGTGGTCATGTAGTTGAAAGTTTTAGCAAATGTTGGCAAATTGAACAATTTAACATTTCAGTCAAGTATATACTGCAGTAAATGAAAATATTTCTTTAATATGCACTTGTCACTGGAAACTCCCACCACCCTGGGAAAACATGGGACATGGGTGAGGGATCAAATTTGGGTTTAGATTTTCATTTGTGCCCCAGGGGGTGGGAGATTAGATCAGTTTTGTCAACATCCAAAAATGAGGGAGACTGGGCTCAAGCGTCTGATCATTTGGGGTGAAGGATTTGAAAGTGCGTTTTTCCAATTTTTTTCTTCTCATTGATTATTTACAGTTTTGTAATTCAGCAACATTCCATTTGAAAAAAGCCAATAGCAATGTATTTTAAACTCTTTGTCGGCAGGTTTAATAAGACCTTTAGTAGGGGATTAGAATAAATATTTGCCCCCCCCCCCCATAGAGTGGGGCATTTTGTTTGATTTTTTCCATTTTGTCTAATCCCCATGCTTCCCCAGGGTGGGGATTTCCAGTGACAAGTGCATGACACGAGGCACTTTTTGCTGCAACTTGCAACAATTTCTGACACACAGTTTACTATCACTGCAAATATTTCTTTTATTTTTCATTTCTCAAGAGTATGTTATATAAACAAGCAGAAACTCAACGCTTCAAGTGAAGGCCCTCCGTCCTGCTACTAACTCTTGACGAAGGGCCTTCGCTCGAAACGTTGAGTTTCTACTTGTTTTTTAATTTAAGATAGTAATTAATATAACCACTCAGCACAGCATTTTCACATTGGTACTACCTACACTAGTACAGACAGTTTTAGTATATTATGTTATATAAAGAAAGTGATACCCTTTCCATGCGGCTACTTTTGAGATAGCATAGCTCTATCTTCGAAATTGCTTTGCAAGTTGCAGCAAATTGTCCTTGCTGCATGTATATAAAATATGGCATTACAGTATAAGATTGCATTTATGTTTAATACATATTTAGATTAGAATGGGTTCCTAAAGTTATTTTATTGCTATTGTGTAAAGTATTATAATATAATCTCGTTATTGACCAACTTACTTACCAAGAATCTAGTGAAACCTCGCCGCTAAAGCGCCGCATCAACTCTTGTTGTTGCTGTTCCTCGAGTGTGACCTGTTCTGCATAAACCCTGGCTTCGTCTTCTGTAGCTAGCGGCTCCATATCGTTGTTAAATACTTCTTCCAGATCTTCTTGAGCAAAGTCAATATCGCTCTCGCCATTCCTTGTACCCGAATCAGAATCTGATTCAGAATTGGACGACATTTTGTGATTTGTACGATACAAATATAAACGATTATAAAAGCATACATATAGTATTGTTTTATTACAAATATGAAATTCAATACAAGATGTTGAGTAGATGACGTCACAGCGCTTAACCGCAGGTCGGATTTTGCAGGCCCTAATAACTTAATGGCGGACAAATTTTTCGTAAAATATTTTGTTTTTGGACAGTTCTTAAGAGAATTAAAAATCAAACTGATTCATTTTATTTTCATATTCGGGTAAGTAAATGTCATTACTGTCTCTTACCCGTTTAAAATCGAACATGATTTGGGATGATACTCCCCCTTTAAGCGTTTATTAGCTAGTGGGAAACTTCAACATGGCCGCCATCTATTCAAATGGGGGTAACCGCTGGAATATTCTTAGCTTCAATTTTACTTAAAGAGATGCGCTATCTAGTGTATATAAGATATCTATGGGTGATACCTGTGACAAGAACTCCCCGAAGTGTATCATGGTCGACTCCCGCGGGATTTTGTTTCAACGCGAACAGTTTCTAGTCTCTTTGGAGGAGAACATTCAACTAACACGCATTGCTAACGGATATGAGGAAACGGGAGACGAGGAGCAATAGCATGTGGAAGAAGAGATGGAAGAAGAGATGGGGGAAGTGTTAAACTTGCCGCACTTCCCCCAAGATTTCCGGGTGTCAGCCTGTCTGGAAGAACAACGCGTTTCCTTCTCAGCTATAGTGATACATGTTTCTGCAATAATTATTCATTTTATCCCTATGCATTACAGTATTTGAGGGATAGAAACATTTCCATGTTTGTGTAATCCAGTGTTTGAATTGATTGATGACAGTTTTATTCAGACAGTATTTATTTTAAAAGGTGAACATTAAGGTTAATCCGATATTCAGGTTAGCTAACATGGGCGTACGGGAAGGAAAAAATTAGGGGGGTGGAAAGAAATTTTCCCGACTTTTTCGGATTGTGCCCGCGGTGTCAAAAAAAAAGAGAGACTGGAAACTTTCCGGAGAAACTTTCCAAAATTGTTGTCGACGGGGGAGGGGGGGAGTGATTACGATAGATAGCATATTTCCCACAAAATTGACAGAATTTCCCACAAAATGGATAGAATATGTCCCATTTATTTTTATAATAATCTAATATTGCCCGACTGTGAAGCGATTATTGCCCGACTGGCTTTGTTTGCCCAGCAAACTGGGGGACTGCCGCCCACTCCACCCACACCCCCCCTCCCTCCACCCCCGCCCGGTACGCCCATGTTAGCGAATTTAATGCCTAACTGTTAGTTTTTACTGAGGAGAGCGGGTAAGGCCAGAGTATTTGAATGAGTGTCGAAGCACAGGAGAGGACTGGCCAGGCTCTGTAAGATAAGTTATTTGATGTACACGGAAGTTACTCCACCAACGTAAAACCCATGATCGTGCTTTAAACCACAGGTTTAGTCATAATAAGCCACAGGGATTAGTTAGTAATTCGAAGTATGGCTCCATGTTTTTAAGATGTGTAGTTGTTTGACATGCATTAAAGTTTAAAGTGTTTAAAGTTAAAGTTTTCGTACCTTTACATGCAGTTGCGTTGCTTACCTAAAGAGAAGGCTATACTTCGAAATATTGTAATTAAAGTAATTGTTACTGATCCTATGTCTGATTAATACAAACTGCACTGGATTGTTACAACACCACTTAGAGGATATTCCGTTACACGTTTTACATAGTTTTGAGTAGATTTCTGTTACAAATGCAGTATCAGTGGCCAAGAATAATAACTGAGTAGCAAAGCTGTGACACATTTTCTGGATCATGAAAGTTTGGTAGTCTACATATAGATTAAATAGTAGATTTATCTCATTTATTGTTACTAGGCTAAGCTACTCGCCATATGTCTCTTCGTTGATAGATAGTGAAACAACCAGGCATCTACTCGGCGCGATTTTTCGTAATTTTATTGCAGAAAAAATGTATTCATTGTAATTTTGTTATGTACTGATTTTACCAGAACAATAAGTGTCAAGAACAAGTAAACCAAGACACGCGTGAAATTTTGGGGTAATCAAAAATAATTTCCCAGAAGTTAAAAATCGTTGTTCGTTCGCATCGTTGACACCGCAATTAACTTCTTAGAAAGGTTCCTGAAGAGGGCCTTGCCGCGAAAAAAAAAACAATGTTAGTTGCACTACAGAGTGTCGATATATAATTTTGATGTACTTATTTGAAGCTATATCTTTTATTATCAAAACGTCTTTGATAATATATACAGTAACAGGCGCACTGGGAACTGAAAGTTTATTTATTGGCTTTGGAATACACAAAATAATAAATTGAAATCCGGAATCCACTACAGTTCTGGAATCCGGAATCCAAGATGTGGAATCTGGATTACCTCACATGGGGCGATACTAATGATAGATATCACAGAGAAACATTGCGTCATTGTCATTTAAGCCCATCGCTGATTGGCTGTAAACTATTTCGTGACTGATTGGTTATTACGGACTTCAGGAAGTGTTTATTCTGTGTCGAACCTGTATCGTATCTACTATGTGGCTTAACGGAGGAGAGAATCACGTTCATTGCGAGTGATGTTTATAAACTTGTTATTCGATGACGGTGTTAGCACATTAGCTCATGGACACTATAAAATTAACAAATAAGTTGTGTATCTCACATATGGTGGGGATATAAGAATGGTGTTATACAATTGTGCTCTAAGATAATCTAATAAAACTTTGTAATATGATGAATTTAAATACACTTTTTCACACTCTCCTTCTATTGTCCTTTATGTTTTCTTTGGATTTTGAAGAAACTGGGCTGTAGTGTATACTGCTAATGGTGGTGGAGGGAGGTTATAGTTGGGTGGAGGTGGTTCCTGAGCCTGAGGAAAGTGGACCTACTTAGAGAATCGGGCCATCGGGCCATAGAAGAGGTCCCCCGGGCCATTTTTAATAACTGTTATAAAAGTCGTCATGGTTTATTCCCTCCCTCATCATTATGGTTAAACCTGAGTTGTTCTGTTTTCAACTATTATTCGATTAATTATGAAATACCACGTTAATGAATAAAATACTAAACATATGGGAATAATGGTATAAACGCGTTTCGGGACACTGATACACAAATTTTTGTTAAAAGGGAGTGCAATTATGGTTTACCCTCGTTTAAAATACTATAAGCGTGTGTAATTGATATGAAATGATATCCTGATGACGTAATGGATGGAGCTCTAGTGCTCCACCCGCTCCAGAACCCCTATTCCCTATACTACTTCCACATTGCGGATATTTTTATTTTAATTTAACTCTTTTAAAGCACGGCCATTAAACTTAGTACGTGCACGTACTAAGTATGTTTCGTTCATATCTCCGGTTCAGTAAACGTTATGTAGATGAAAATACCACCATTCGATTCAGTGTAAAAATATATACTAGTTTATAACGATAGTTTTAGTCAATGGCTACATTGTAGCGATTTATGAGCTTTGGAAGTCAAGCGAGCTCGTATATGATCAAATTACGCAATATTACTAACAAATTATACTGAACATATAGACATATCTTTCGCCGAACATAACTTTGGCCCCTTGAGTCGCATGCTCATTCTGATACTCCTAATGAATTAAGCAGTTAAAAATAACATGTATAGTGTTATTTTCATGATTATATCTTTAAAGTGTGACTTTTACTGCTGAATATTACATTTCTGCTCCGAATTTGCAATAATCCAAACCGGAAATACGAGGAAAAACCGTCAAAACAATGCGACGCTTGTATCGCGTGACTCTGGAAATGCCAGAAATGATTCTACAGGTCAAAGTGCACCCATAAGCGTGAATTTGACGTCATCCCGGCTAAAGGAGCTCCTTATTGCTGTATTTGCTGTATTGAATGAGAAAGTAAATCCGCATTGTGGCTATATTATACACTTAATATCTGCTCCCTGAGACTCTCGGGAAAACAAAACAAACTATTTCCCTCGAGAACAGACATTAAGTGTATATTATTTATATTTGACTGCGTTAGACTCTTATTATTTCCCGAGAGGAAGTCGAGGCAACAGGATATGCTGCTGAAACCGTTTAAGGGACAGGTCATTAATAACGGGAGGGGGCAGTGGGTCAGAAAGGGGGGCAGCTTGAACAATTTTTGCCTGAATTGAGGGCGGCCTCAAACTGAAAAATATGTAACAACAGTACATTTTTTAATACTTTCCTACTAATTTTCAAAATATTTAAACCTTTTTTAGTTCCTATAATCATAGTTGCCATAGTTTATTACGCATATGCAGTTCACCATAGGAATAGGAATAAATAACAACCATTTTGAACACTGGTCCCCAGTACTTGTCCCATTACTTATTTTAGACCAAAAAATGTAATGAACTAAACGTTGGAGGGAGAGAGGGTCCTAAGTTTTCTAGATGAAGGTGGGGACGTCTTGAAAATAAAGGTCTTACGATTTGGAGGCGGCCGTCTTAAAAATATTCAATATTTGGTATTTATCACCCACCCATTATTAATAACCGGTCCCTAAGTAGGTTCTTTTGATTTTAAACTCGTTTACACTATAAAGTTTTTGTCAAGAAAATATACAATTGTTGTATGAATGTTGTTGAATGTTGATTTTTGTTCGTCGCTATATAACAAAATGCTTAATGTCTGTTCCCTCAATGTTTCCTTCGACTTCGTCTTGGGAAAACAAAACAAACTATTTCCCTCGAGAACTGACATTAAGTTATTATTTATGTTTGACTGCATTAGACTCTTCCGGCATGCAACAACTCATTCACCATGCTATGACGATATAGTCCGTGTACGTGTTGTGACCAGAGGCGCCGGAATATCGATAATAGCGGGGGCAGATATTCATATATTCGTGTTCACAGACTGTAAAAACAATCGATTTCAAAAGAAATTAATTGGGCAGAACACGAATATATGAATACCTGCCCCCCCCCCCAATTATCGATATTCCGGCGCCTCTGGTTGTGACCCGATATCGTTCACTTT